CCCCCCCCAATCAGATACTGATACACATTGTTAAGATCCCCCCACCCCTTTGAATACTTTGGGGAGTATTTAAAACACTGTCTTAATAGTTTTGTTTACTTTGCCTAATACAAAAGAGATTTCACTGTTTGAAATTAAAGGCATCTTTTAAAAAAAAGAAAAACTGGTAACTTGTAGAACTTGCTGAGCTCAAGAGTATGCTGATTTTCAAAACATATGATGTTTTTATGAATTAAATTATTGCTGTGTTGTGTGATCAACGACAACTGTGAAGAGTGTTAAATCCTAGTCAGTTATGCCTTAAAGCATGTCCATGAATGAAAAGGAAAGAATATCCATTATGGGGAAAGGTATTTCTCTTCAAAAAATCTGGTAACGATCAACACTGAAAACATAATACTAAGCAAGTGGACTACCAGTCTGCATAACAGTTCCTAAAGAGATTTACTTCCTTTGTGTTTGACTAGATTACTTTGTTGCTGCTTTACCTGTCTTCCATTCATGTACTTTGGTGCCACCATGAGGTGCTCGGCCTATTATCATTTTTAAAAGGGACAGTTTAAAAAAAAAAAAATAAATACACAAACAAACAAGCCCCAAAGTATACTTCCAGACTACCAAGAAAGTCAGACTAGGTTTGTCAGACAGAACAGTAAGTGTGCTGGAGTGCTGCGCCTCAAGTAAAATCAAATGGAATTTTTTTTTAATAGTTTTAGGCAAGTAATTTAATTCTTTAATATGTCTGTATACAATGAAGCACTACAAACCATGATAATTCATACAAAAGAGCTGAAAATTACTGATATTCACTACAGTATGCCAAAGATATTTCACAACTGAGGAAAAGGGAAAATGTCCCATACAAAATTACTCTCAAATGATCTTAGTATTTTTAAGCTGTCATATAAATTTTCAAAGGGGTTACAAAGCATTAGAAAAAAAACCCAGTTCTTTTTTGAGACATAAAAAGGAAAGGAGAAAACATTAAGAAAAATAAAATCAAATTACACTGATGTATTTTAAAAATTCTGACACAGTATATTTAAGATATCAAGGAGATGGATAAGCTCCTTTAGATGCTACCTTTTTTTATTTTATTTATGTCTCACAGGTTCATCAAAAGTTATTTTTTTACGTTTTGATTCTGTAATTTCTTACTTACTGACACCAATGATAAAACTGTACTCATACCAATGAGATGGTAGATCTGACGAGGGCAAGTTTAGGCATTTGTCTTTGTTTAGTTGTTTTAATGTTTTTGTTTGCTTCCAAGTGACTTACAGAACCACGTAAGTCTTGCTTTCGTACAGCCAATTCCAAAATCTTATTACATGATAGCACAATTAGCTTGCCTTGTACAGTTCTTAGAAGTATTACAGATTCATAATTTCTTTGTTAAATGGTCTGAAAACTCATCTACTTTGCCCACCACTGGAAAAGTATTTTTGCTTGCAAATATTATTAGAATTGTTGCTCCATTTAAGGACATGACAGCATCTTTAAATAAACACGTCCCTGTTGCACACAACTTGCAGAAAGTAATATACCACAGATGGCATTGCAATTTAAGAATACATATGAAGTCTGGGTTTGCTTACAGGTCTCTGATGCTTGGGTTAAAAATGTCTCAGAATCTCCCCATTCTACTACTCTATATTCCTACAGCCTAATTCTTGCTCTTTCTGCTGATGTCTGTTCTCTTAAAAAGTCTACTGGTTCAAAATTTTACCATTTTTTAAAAAAGAACTTTAAAAGACCTTGAGAGGAAGAATTTCTGAACGTTTTTTTTTGATCCATCAATCTCTGAAATTTACTACCTTTCCATATATAGATGAATAAAAGAGATGTCATTTTGCATTTAAGAAGTGTTCACACTTACAGTCTGTTCCTTTGTTCAATAAATCTCTTTACCTTTTCATCCCCTTGTTCAGGAACATGCCAAAACCAACATTTTGCTCTTTCACACCCACGCAAAGTTGTGAAATAAAATCTGCAATATTTACGGGGCAACTCAATCATCTCGAGGATCCGCTGGACTGAATAAGAAGCCTAAAATAAAATGAAATTAAAATAAAATGAAATTAAAAGAAGCAGGAAAAAACCAACAGGTAATGTTTTTTGAAAGCAAACAGGCTCATTTTTTTTAGAATTTCAAAATACCTACAAATTATAAACAAAAGCAAAAAATATGTGATCTACAACTAAACCTTTGAAACAACCCTCATCTCTATACTGTATTTGCAGCGTTTCAAAGCAGACCAAGATCAGTCCCTTGCCATGTCAGGTTAGTGTCTAACACAACAAAAATCTGTCTTGAACACCACAGAGAGAATGCAAGAACTGCTAAATGAGACAGACAATGAGTAGAGAGGAGGAAGAAAGGTGACAAACTCCTGCACGGCTCTGGATAACAGTCTGAGAATTCTGGGGCATCAATTTCCTTTATGCTTTTTTAGTGCCCAGCACAATGGATAATGCTGTCTTAAACATGTGAAACTGTGTCTGCTTTTCAGTTCTACAAAAACAATAAAGCAAAAAGCATTATTTGATTTTGCTTAAGCTGGAAATAGAAATCAACAAAGTTCCACTGTAACAGCTGTCCCCTCACCATTGATTTTATTCTCAGAAATTATATTTACTCAGTGATAACAACTTTAGAGAAGCAGAAACATAAATATGCATAGATTCATAATTTCTGACTAACAAAATTAGTGCCAAAGGATCAGAAATCATTAAAGATTTAACAACTCACCATTGCATTTTTTTCCATCTTCCATGGCTCAAAACCTCCAGAATTCTGCAATGGAAGTAAAGGACTTTTTCCTGAAAATCTGTAATCTAAAAATTAGGATGAGGGCAATAAATGGATCATGTACTAAAATGAATCATACTGAAACCACTCTCATTTATCTTATTTCCCTTTATATTTATAGTTCCTTCAAGTCACAGCAATGATTAATGAAAATTTGATTAATACAATCTAAAGCCAGTAATTTAAGTTAGTTTTCTAAATTATCCTAAAACTGAGACTTCACACAAACTTAAAGAGTAAGCACATTTAAATTAAAAGCTTCACTACTTTATCCAAGGTTTCTAATCTAATTTACAGAGATAAGAAAAGAAATGGAATAAAAATATCCAGAAGTTTTAATTTAAAGAGGACCCCCCCCTTTATCAGTAATCTGCATTCCCACATCACTAGCTATAAATTTACACTATTTTTCCAGAACTGAAATAAAACCTTTGATGCTCTGTGTTTTAAGCAGTGCAATATCAAGCTTAAGCCCAATGTAAGTTACTGGTTTCTTAACCATGAAACTTAGGTTTAGAACTTTAATTATTACTGATAACAGATTTCCTTCTCTGAAAAATGAATAATGTTAATGGAAGATAAAAGTTCAAATTTTCAACTCCATATCTAAAGAGAAATAAGAGCTTTGGAATGCCTTGCTTTCTAGGGTTCCCATCTGGCCCCTTGAAAGAACTGCGTATTCAAAAGGCAGGGTGCTTAGCCGTTTCCGACAAACTATAGTTACTGAAGAGCATCCAATAATGACACGTTTGTCCTGGTTTCAGCTGGGATGGAGTTAATTGTCTTCCTAGTAGCTGGTAGGTGCTACGTTTTGAGTTCAGTATGCAAAGAATGTTGATTACACTGATGTTTTCAGTTGTTGCTAAGTAGTGTTTAGACTAAAGTCAAGGATTTTTCAGCTTCTCATGCCCAGCCAGCGAGAAAGCTGGAGGGGCACAAGAAGTTGGCACAGGACACAGCCAGGACACCTGACCCAAACTGGCCAACGGTGTATTCCATACCATGGGACGTCCCATCTAGTCTAGGAACTGGGAAGGGGGGTGGGGAATCGCCGCTCAGGGACTAGCTGGGTGTTGGTCAGCAGGTGGTGAGCAATTGCACTGCGCATCATTTATACATTGCAATGCTTTTATTTACTACTGTTGTCATTTTATTAGTGTTATCATTATTAGTTTCTTCTTTTCTGTTCTATTAAACTGTTCTTATCTCAACCCACGCGTTTTGCTTCTTTTCCCTATTACCTCCCCCATCCCACTGGGTGGGTGGGGAGTGAGTGAGCTGCTGCGTGGTGCTTAGTTGCTGGCTGGGGTTAAACCATGACAATGTTCTACTAGAGACTTGCACTAGGTACATGGTTCTTACTCTGCATGTCTTTCTAAACAGACAGGACTATCACAGGATAGGAAGGAGAAATGTAATGTAGAACAATTAAATATCTAAATGTTACGTACTATCACAGCTGCATAATTTTGTGCAGTGATGGTGGACAATTTGGTAAATTCAGGATTGGATAAATTTTGTGACAGGAAAAAGACTAGGAAAATGGTCAACCACTAGCTGCAGAAAAATGCCACTGGGAACTTGAGCTCAGAAGTCTTTCCTCCAGATTCTTGCCATCCCCACAGCACAGAATTTCTGACCAGCTCCTTTCAAGAGTTTGTACTCTCCCTGTTGACTGTATGTCAAATTTGTAGGGGAGCAGGCACTAAAATGAAATAGCCAATCCCGCCTGCACAGTTCTGAGGAAAAAAAGGGCTGGTTTGCCCTCTCCTAGCACAGAAACTCTTGCTTTGGCAACTGTTTCAAATGATTTTAAGAAGATTGATTGAGAAGAACTCTTCAGAAGGTGTATACACTTTTAAGGCCAAAGACATGAGCAACTTCAAACTACTGTAGTCTAGAGATGTATTTCGCAGTTGCTTTTTATAGCATCTATGTTTCTTGCACTTCCTGAAAATATTGTTAAATGACTTGGTGGTAAAATCATTCTGCAAGCTCAGACTGGAAGTATAATTTGAAACTAAGCAAGAACCTCTGCCACTGATCTCAATTCAGGAAATCCATGCTTATAAACGTCCATATTAACCAATAACTGTAAAAATATTAATTCCCGAAACAGCTGTTGCAAAGAAACAGAATGCAGTATCTATCTATAAGTAATCAATTCCTGTTTTTGCTGTATCTTGTACGCCAAAAGAACCTGTGCATTTATATAAGGCTAAATGTCAAGAGTTGTTATGTGCAGAGAAAAAGAGAAGGAAACTTTGACTACAGTTCCATTTCATTATGATTTCTCTGGTGGTAGAGACACTTGTGAGGTACCTGTCCCAGGTGTGACAGATACCAGGTCAAAATAAAGTGCTGCTTTTTAAACCCAGATAATTTCCTTGATCCAGTCTAGTGAATGCCTCACAAACAATTGAATTGGCATAAACAAAGAAGTTCTGACCTTCGGCAAGGTAGGAAGTCCCTTAGCCAAGTTTTGCCGACAGGTAACAACCAACCAAGAAAATCTGCAGTCACATTCTCTGACCACAAATAAAGAAAAACAAGTTACTTGCCAATAACATGGCTTAAACACAATGTGTCAAAATACTAAGAATGCAGGCATTGTTGTACCATTGAAGTATCTGAGAACCATAAATACCAAGATAGAATGATTGCTGTTTGACCCTACCAAATAGGATTCTGCTAAAAAAGCCCACCCAACCCCCAAATCCTCACTAATCTTATCATATGAGAGCTTGCATTTTTGCTTCTGTGTATGCAAACTAAAACAAATTCCAGCCAATGCCTTCAGGAATTGAAGAAATTCCTTAAGATTTTATAGGCAAATAAAACAAACGTAAAAATAAATTCTGGAGCGTTCACCAATACAGCATACAATACCATTTGTCCGGGGTTTCATCACTGTAGCTTCACTGAGGGCATTTACTTTCCGGGCACGCAATGGCAATCCTGATAGCAATTCACAGTTCACAAGATCTTTGTCTATACAGTCACTGTTGAGTATTAAAAAAAAAAAAACAAACAAAAATTTGTTTAACTAAATTAAACAGGTGCTTCTCCCATATACTAAACACCTAAAAAGGGAGATAAAGTGTATAAAAGATGAGAATTTCAACAATTTACACAACATTTGAAAACTTGCTGTAAATTTAAAGAGCTAGCAGTCCCAACAACTTTATTTTCATTACTCTTACTGCCTGGTCCAATCTGATTATGATTTTAGCTGAGATTATTCTGTCCTAAAGTGTAACTATATGAAATTCAATAAATAAATAGAAAAGGCACCTGTGAACCACTTCTATTTTTTTTCACTATGCTGACAGGTAGACTGAGACGATTTCTGTCACCTCTGAAGAAGCATCTACTTTTCAGTAGTCTGTTATGTAGTATCTGCCAGAGAAGTAATCCTCAAAGCTTTTGAAATTACATTTGAAGAGCCAACTGTTTTCTTTCATAATAACTGACTCTACCTGGCAAAAGATTCAGGTGATTTCAAAGGGAACTCCAATTAAAGACTGTTCTGCCTTTAACTATTCCCAAATATGTACATTCCAGATACTTAAGCTACTAAAATGTGACGTTTTCCAAAATAAGCTACAAATATTGCTAGCAAAATACTTAGTGATGTCTTTCTTATTTGTAAATAAAGCCACAGAAAAAAACAATCCCCTTTTATGAGATCTTCCTCCTCTCCCCCCTTCAATTAAGAATCTAAGTTCAGTACAAAGGACATTTCAGCCTGCTTGCTGTTTGGAGACAGAAATAGACTTGCTATCCCCTATGAGGGGCACATTCTAGCTATTTAGTACTTCTCATAGCCAGGATAATTCAAATCTTTCCTAAATTGCAGCCTGTTTTTAACACAGTTTGAAATAAAAATGCTACAGCAAATAAGAATAAATTCTAGCTAATAACCCCAAATTCCTCAATATCAATCTTTGTTTTTATTCTAGTCAATGTATTGTATTGGTCTCCAGAGAAAAAAAGTCTGCAGATCTAGTTACTCAGAATTTTCAAATTACCATGTAGAATTTTTTTATGCTTTGTGATGACAGCCTCAGATCTGACACAACAGGATTTTCATAGCAGCTTATCTTCAGGACAATAAATCTCAGCTCTCTTTTTAATCTAGACATGAAACTACGCACAATTTTGCCAGGAACTGTAAACTATATAGCTCTACAATAAATTTCTTTTTTTAAGTAACAGCACCACTAGAAGCAGAGTTTGCTAAATAAGAACAGTAACTATGTTTTCTTCTAGATGAAACTTTGCAATGGTAACATTTTTGAGTAAATTAGAGAAAACAGTTTGACTCCAAATGAAGGAATAAATGCCTCTTCTCTAACTGCAGAGTGTGCTGCATTTCAACTAAGGAAGTGAAGTAATGCGGTATTACTTGCACATATTTTATCCAGCATAATCTACTTATTCTAGAGCATAAAGAACTATTTATGCTACTAAGGTAAATTTAAATGGGTATTTTACCAGAAGGAGGAGCTTGGAGCTTTCTAGTTGATTAATGAAAAGATGCAAAATTCTCCATTTAACGGACTGCTGGTGCACTTCAAGTCTGTCACAGAACTGTGAATGGTGCTGGAAAAAAGCAACCCCTTCTTCTATGCCAGCTAAGGTTTCTTGATTATTGTGAAAATGACTCTGAAATATCTGTTGTTTCTCTTCTAATTACTCAAGTATTCCATCAGTTAAGTATACTTTTTCTACAAAGTCTTATTCTGCTTCATTTTTGGGCTGATGTTGAATGGAAGTTTCTTAGTCTGACATTTGAAGTCATATGTGCTATAAACACTGTAAGCATAGCTTGAAGCTAGCAGAACAGTAAAGCACGTGCTTAGCTCCACATGCCATGTTTTTAAGTGCCTTTTTCTATTGCTGTTCAAGTATTTGTCAGCCTGAATTTGAATGAGATCTTTCACTTCTTTTATCAGTTTAGAAAGTCCCGAGGCAGAAAAGAAAGCTGAAAGTTTCATTGATTTTTTTTTTTTTTTTTTTAAGTTCTGGTAACTGCTGTTGCAGCTGGAAATGTATCTTATGCTATACTCACATTGAGATGCCAAGGTGAGACACAGGCATAGAGTGGATATATTTCATCACCAGCCAGAGGACAAAATAACCTCTATTGTCCTGTCAGGCTATGACTATACTTGTCTTGTAGTCTGCACAGTGAAATTATATTATTTCACATACTTATTTTCTTAATCACATAGTCACAATAACATAGAAAAATTGAATTAAAATGCTGATGGTGTTTCAGTAAAAACATCACATTTCATTAGTACAGCAACTGGGGAACATCACAGGTTGCATGAAGGACACAGTATATATACCTTTTTTCAGCTTCACCCTTTTTTTCTTGTTTAACATCAGGCACTCCATCTGCAAACCTGGACTGTGAAGATATTTAAAATGTATTTTTAGATACAGCAAAGCACTACTAAGCCTGTTACACTTTACACTACAGACTTAAAACCGTTAGTGGTTGTTGGAAGGTGTGATAATACAGTTTTGACCGTAAAAACTGTAATTTGGACTGCAGAGTTACTCTTACACCATCTTTTAAAATGGACACACTGCCATTATATTGTGATCTTTAAAATAGTGATTTTTAATTGGAAAAAAGGGTAACATGATTGTCTTCACTTCTCTTTGCTCCCACTGATAATCCCAGCAATTTTTAGACCCACTGCCCAATTTTAACTGCGCCTGACAGATGTGTAGAAACCCCCAAAAGACATTCCATCAAATTCAATGAAAATTTAAAGCTGTATTGAGGAGAAATCTAAGGCTTCTGCTCAGCTGTGCACCATGGTGTGTAGGCAAAAAATCCTCAAAGATATGGAGAAAAAAGACAGCCCCTAACATATTTGGGGATGAGAATTTAAAGGACTGTTATAGAACAAAGTCATGGAATCCTGGCTTTGTTTTGGGTGTTATTCATGAAGTAATTTGAACTTCACGTTACATCACAAATTTATGATAGCCAAAGAATTAGAGATGGATATGCTCTCATCAGACTTCCAAACTTCATTTTACCAGTTCCCCAAATATTTTTAGGGTTTTCTCCATGGTCTCTCACATCATTATTAGTTGGAAAAGCCATCAAAAAAACCAAACACCCAAAATCACCCCAAATGGTAGATACTTGCAACATGTGTTCTGCCATTCCACTCCCTCCACAGGTCTGCACAGCTAGTTTTCCATCCACATACAGGAATAGGTTTAGGGCTGCAGCATGTATTTTATGGCATAAGTTTGGTTAAGTTTGAAGTTTGGGTGAGATTAGTTATACATATTTACTGTTGTCCAACACAGCAAAGAAAAGCAAACATTAGGACACTGATTTTATAAAGCTACAACACTACAAAGTAGTCCAACTGGGATTGACCTGGCAATATTGCAACAAGTACTACACCTCCAGCAACCTATATGATTTGACAGACTCTTTTATCTTCTCTAAGAAGTCAGGGAACAAAATGGCGCTGTTCACTTTACGAATCAGATGTTAGCAGCCCCAATTCCATTGCTAAAGGAAATGTTTCTATTCTGCTTTTAAATAATGATTTTGCCAAGGAAACTGATTCCCTACTGTTTGATTAACTTATCAATTACCTACCAGTTTTTAGCCATGTGAATTTTACAGTTTAACTTATCCAGTTAAAACCATTATCCACTCTTGAAGTAGTGGAAAATAGTAAATGCTATCAGCAGCTATGTCTGAGTGGCAGTGAAATTCCAAACCATTATCAAAGAAGTAAATAGTATAAAATTTCAAGTCTTAAAAGACCTAGGCTTACTATCTAGAGGAAGGAGGACAGAGAGAGTAGAAAGGTCAGATAAAGTCAGTGAGCATGAAAATGCCTTAACGTTCCCTCTGAACTGCCAGGAAGTCAGTATGTTAATGTAATGGCCCTCTGCCCAAGTAATGAGCCACAGAATGATCCTCCTGGGATGCATGATGGCTGTGCAGCTCCCCAACTTTCCAACACCACCCCATCCTTCTGAGACTGTGTGGTTACAAGCACTTAATACCGACTTTTAAAACTAGGTGTGTTATGTAAAAATGTCACATACGCACAGTAGTACACTTAGGTGTTCACTGGAACAGTAATTTTCATACAGTTGGTAATACAGAGTTACTGTAAGAACTGATATAAAAACATTTTAATTCATGTTCAAATCTGAAATGAAACATTAGTGGCAAGGTAAAAAAAACAAGTTCTGTCAAGCAAAACTTAGGCTGTCAATAGTACAGTAATCTATGAAATGCTAATATTCTTTTTATTACAAGAAATTGAAAATTTTGTTGATAAAACAGCATTAGTAATTAAAATTATCCAATTATATAGACTAATTTCTTAAACTATTTAGTGACAGAAAGCATGGTTTCTCAGTACCTTTTCATCCATGTCAAAACTCTTTAAAAGTTCATCTAGTTCTCTCAGTTGCCCATCTTCAAGAAAGTCTTCAGTAACACCTCCCAAAGGACTGCTTCCTCTGGAGGAGTTCCGGGTTTTAATATCTTTAGCTGAAAATGTATAAACACATTACTTATGTGTTTCCCATGCTACAAGACAACAAAGTTTTTATTTCCAAAATATTACAAAGCCTTAATACTAATGACATTTAAGAACTCCTAGGACTTACTAAATGTGAAATTTATATGTAAAATTATTTCACCTTTAAAGCACGAACCATTTCAAATAAATATTAAACTGAATCTGCAATTAAAATTCTATCCAAACTGTATGTTCCGTAATAGTCCCTGTAGAACAGTAGAACAGGTTTATTTATATAATTCAATATTCTAGAAATAAATTCAGTTAAACTTTGTTATTAAAACAGAACCAAAGATATTTATGGTAATTTGCTATGCAAATAAAGACGTAAGTCTTTTCTGGAGAAGGAGGTAAGTTGATTGTAATGACATGATGCAACCCTGAACTAAATACAGATAGCTCTGAGAAACTCCAAATTCCTATAATACAGTAAACTCAATGAGAATGCAGTGTCAGGAAATTTCAACACCTTTTGCAGATGCCACAGGAAATGAACAGAACACCTGACTGGAGCTTTCTGAAGCAGCTGTTTATGGACAAGAGAACAGCTCTGCACAGAAAAGAAACTCACTATTTCATTGGATCACATGAATGAATTTCAACTGCACTGTGTTGTCTAGATACAGGAAGAAAGAATCAGATTATGATTGGAAAGGCTTTTATCTTATAGTCACTGGTGTCCATATCATCATCAGTACAAGACACATCTGCTTGAAGATAATGTACACAAGATTTCCACTTGAAAGGTGAAGAGGATTGATGTCATCCAGAATACCTTAACTGTAGTATTTGTTGCCCTTCTTAGACTGTGAAGCCACTGAGATGAGCAGCCATGACCTCACTACATAACACAAGACACCAAAGCAGTAATACGTATTTCTAAATAAATACAAAAATTGTCAGTAATTACCAAAATCAGGCACCTTTCTTGATCTGTACAGATCTTTTTAAAAAGTCATACAATCAAACATAAGTTACCATGTGCATATTAATCCAAGAGTGTGATGTGATCCTAAGCTTCTCAGATCTGGGAAGAAGGACCTACTTAAACCTTTTTCTTTATTTTAAGCACCACAAAAAGACCCAAAGACTTTTAGCCTCAAACTTCATTAGAACATGAAGTAAAACAAGAAACAGTCTAAGAAAATGCAGAAGTTACTAAATAGTACAGGACTTGTTCCCAGGTTTGGCTGCAGTCACCTCAGTACTGCAGATGCCATGGCACAGGCCCCTCTGGCTCTTTACATCACCAGAGCCCTAACTGTGTACTTACTCCCTATTCCTCTTCAGGGAACTTATGTCTATTTCTTGGTGTCTGAGCTCTTAAACCCTCATTACCTTTTATTCTGCCTTCTAATCACTGAAGCCTGAAACTCTCTCCCGCAAATAGTCACTATTCAATCCTTTTTCTCCAGGAGGCTACATCTGTCCAAACCACTCACTCTACATTAACACAACATATTAATATGAAAAAACAGCACAAGAGCTACTGTCACAGACACTTTTCAAGCCTGCAACAAAATCAATACATAATGGCAGAGTGTCAGATTAACAGCAAGCTGACAAACTGACAACAGAAAGGGAAACACCAAGAACCTTCAAAACCAGCCTCAGCACTCTGTGCCTTCTCCAGTGTGTCAGTAATGGACTTCTGTTTAAAGTCAAAATCCTGTTTCTCCAACCTAAGAGAAACTTCCACATCAGACGTACCTTGCATAGTAGGTCTGTATGCAAGCTGTAGAAAACAGAATAAATCACATTCAGATGCTGCCTAGTTGGGACTGTTCTGCTTAAAATAGGAAGAAAAAACCATTAAGTCGGAAGTATCCTTCTCTAAAAAAAAATAAGCATTCTTAAAAACCAAAACAGTTTGTCAAAGCAATGGGCATAGCATCTGCAAAAAACAGAAGCACAACCTGGAAAAAAACCTATTATAAAATTCTGTCTGCTGATGAACACAAGAGAACAACCAAGTGACATTATGAGTCAGACTCCAAAGCAGTATCACAGTACTCGGTGTCTTACTATAACCTCATCAACTAACAGAATTCCTTGCCTTGTATCAGAGAGATGTCAAAAAACCCACAACCAAAACAAAAAAAACCCCCAGTACTACCAACAGACAAGTACAACAGAGAAGTACATGTTCCCTATGAGGGTCAATTTTGTACCATTTCAAAAGACATCCATTTTATATGCATTAGGAAACAAAACGCTGTTACAATAAAAAGTATTACTGAACTGACAAGTTCTCATTTTATGTGGAAAGTAGAAAGCCTAGGTTTTCCCACTGAACATCTTTGTGGTTACTTTCTTCTCTCGATCACAAAAATCAGCAAAAATCTCCAAAGATTCTTACCTTTCAGCACCCAGTCACAGCAACTTTCAGTATCATTTGACATTCCAGATTCTTGTATGGTAATACATCTGTTTTGAATAAAAAGTGTATTTAAGATTTCCATCTTGCACAAAAGCAGAATTAATCTAACCAGTTCCATAAAATTAAAGTTCTCAGTAATACTTTTAGCTATAGACAGAATCCTTACATACAACACACTGTTCTAAGACTGTTCTTAATTCTTCTTTTGGCTTTCTTATGTCCATCCCTACAGATACACACCTAAACACAACAAGTAAAACCAAGATATTTCAAATCCCAAAATTCATCAGTAAATGCTCATTATCTCAATTCACCTTTGCCTAAAATACTGAGGAGGGAAAATCTCTGTACATCAAATTATGGAAATACTGTGCTAATGAACCAATTAATCAGTTTCTACAAAATGTGATTTATAGTAATTTTATATTCAAGACGATTTGCATAAAAATGAATCTCAAAAGAGAGTAACAAAAACATTTGTTCATAGAAAGATACTTCACCTCTTTTAAAGATAAGCTGGGAAAAAAATAAATATTTCTCCTTATAAAAGCTCAGAAGGTAAAAATACATATTAAAATATTATATATAGAATATATAAATCAACAATGTCATCACCAAAGATTTTGGAAGCTCACACCTGGTGAATGACACCAAGTATAATGACAGCAAGCTGCCTAGTAAAATGGAACAATGAAAATCTGCAACAACCTAGTAGAAATTAAAGTTCCCCAGCATGTGTAACTTGGAACTATACAAACGTTCAGGCACAGGTATCTATGTATATATGCGACATACATTAAGAAGCAGAGTTTAATAAGTTACAGCAAGTTTGTAGAGATGAGAGGGATTTTTATTAGACGCAGGCTCTCTGTAGGCTCTTTTCCACTCTCTCCAACATTTTATGTGAAATGCAAAGTTTGAGTGATTTTGCCTACAACAACAATTGACTTTCTTTTTGTAAAACTGCAGTGCAGACAGTTCCAGAAAGCTGTCATCTTCATAAACACTGCTTAAAACTGAAAATATTTAACAGATGAAGAGACTGAAATCTTCATGTTCAGGTCAAAAGCCACTTCCAAATCTTTACCAGATTCTGCTAATTGTGTAGTGTGAAATAGTTACAGAAACACTTTATAAGTTCTTGTAAAGAAGGTGCCTAAAACACATACAGAAAACTACATTTATTACAGTACTTGGCATTTGCTCACCAGCTGACAAGTCTAGGAGCAGTGACACGAACCAGAAGTCAGCCCATTTTAGAGATGTAGAAATGGAGACAGACTAGACCATCTCAGAACGCAGGATGCTCTTGCATGATGCTGCTAAGTTTAAACAAATCTCTCTTTACAGCACAAGTTACAGAAACCACAGTGTTCAGTTTGCTATTTTGGATATGAAAAATGGATTCAAGTTTAGGTTTTCTATTCAAAAGGAAAACAGTAAAATACATAAGTCTCCTAAAAGCAAGAATAGCTGCTGATGCGCTTTCAAAGGTATCCACTGAACCTACTAATTCTGCTGGGATGAAAAGACATACTGGATGCCACTTAAGAGTAAATGTCTAGATACCCTACATGAGAGGAAAGAATGATGATTGATTAAAAAACCTGCACTGTTGGGAGTCACATAAGGGTAGGCAATAGAAAATGGCAAACAGAAGTGAATGTGAAAACTGAGTTTCACTGCCCCACTCAGGCTGCAGGGCCAGAATCCTTTCCTGATGACTGGCAATTAATGCCTGGAAGTGACCAGCACTCTTCTTAAAACGCAGCCACCAGAGGAGTAACCAGTCCTACTTATCCTAAAGGTCAGAGCATGCTAACTGAATCAAACCATTCAGGACATACACACACAGAGCCTTTTCTGAATCTTCCTGGGGATTAAGAGACAGTACCTGCTTGTCCTACTTAAATCTACTTGTTCAGAGACATCAGTTCTGGGCACATGCACAAGCACAATTACAGTAGTTAGGAAACTTTAAGTTAGAGATGTGTAGCAATGTTAGGTGCCTCTTTGGTTGTTGGGTGCTTTGTTAGTTTGCTTAAAAACCCACCCAACCAACCAAAGAAAAAAGCCTTATTTGAATTTTGGACCTCAATCACTGTTCTGACCTGTATGTTCTGCTTTTGAAGGACACGTGCTCTCATTATCTGAAATTTGGAAGCCAAAAATTATTATCCTTGAATTTTCGTAACTAAAAATACCCTTCCAGCTTTTAAGGTCACAAACAGTCAAAGATGAAAAGTGTCATTGGCTAAACACATCTTGTGTTTAAATTGAAAGCTCAAACAAAATGGATCCACAGTGGCTAATAGTTACGGATCCACAGTGGCTAAGAGTTGCCACTGAACACTTGTCAGTTACTCAAGTCAACCTGGTACATCCTTCACACAGTTTCAGTGCTTTGGTTTCACAATGAAACTTGAATAAAAAGTATTACCTCATTATAGCAACTGACATTTTGACAAGCTGCTAGATCTCAGACTTTTGTAGCTGGAATAACACCACAAATTAAGGCACCAATCGTTTCCTTTACAATTACAATTTAAATTCTATTAAACTCTTAAGTAACACTCAACACATTTTTAAAAGCTTTTTAACAACCCAGCTATACTTTCAGAATAACTTGCTGCTAGCAGAAATACAGTTCTTACTGCTCCATACCAATGCCAGACTAAAATATCAATACACAAGAAGTAACGTACTGAAGTCCATCCCCATGCATACATGCACTAAAATAGTTTTAGCAAAGATCCAGATTCTCTCATCATCTGCCTGCTCTTACTAATCTGAAGGGAAATCATAACAAAAGCTATGTACTGATACAGTTAAAACATTCAGCAACAACCACCATGCGCAGGCATTAAGTGCTTGCATTGCTCTTCTACCTAAAATCACCTAGATTACATTCATCTAGAGTGTAATGGCTAACATTAACCAAATATTACACAAAACATGCATATAAATTAATATTTCTACAAGTTAGAGATAGTTTACAGTAGCGCAGTTCTGACTCGCTGTTCTACGTGGACAGACTAAAGTGGCATTACAAACTAATACTGCAATGAAGCAAAACTGAGTATACATAAAATAAGAAGCCAAACAAGAAAACATTGACAATACTCTAGAATATCTCTAAAGAAAAAAGACATTAACAGAAAAATATTTTATTTTAAAATATGTAGTATGATGTGAGCGTAACTCTACCAGCATAATCACCTTTTTGGGTTGGCCAAACAAAGTTGAAGTCCCAGCTGTATCTGGTAAATACTAACAAAATAAAAACTAACAGTATGAACTAGCCATTATCTGGTATTATCTGGTGATATCATAAGTTACCTGATAAAACTGTGGTAAGGTCTATTGCCTTATTTTAATATTCTCATAGTTCATAAGTATGCTCCTGACCGTTACCATGTATGATTAGTCACTGTCTAATGATCTTTGCATCAAACTATGGAAGGTAAAAAGCAAAACCAGACAATTTTGCTTGCTTCTTTAGTAAATTAAGGGGAAATTCTAAGAAATAAGAACCATGCATTTTTATTTTCCTTGGCTGATGGCAAGCAAATTCAGTAGATACCAGGAAGAAAGTTGAAATATGACTTCAAACAAGTTCAGTTTTCATCTATCTAATGGCTGTGATAAATGTTACTCTAACTCAATGTCATTACTAATTAAAGGGAATATTTGTCCTCCCTACAAAGTACTTACAAGATCCAATAAAATTTTCAGTTAGTATTTAATGTAAATAACAAACTTCACTACCATAACCAACACATAAGTGTAAAGGGCTCAGTTCTGGTCTTCCACTCTGGGCAACAGCTGTCTGGACTGTCAGCTGGAAACTGTCTCTGAAGAGCCACTATTACCCTGGGGTAATATACAGTGAATACTCACTCTGTTAAACAGTGTATGTAAGATATAATACACACTGCACACAAAATGAATACTCATTCTAATAAACTTACTATGATACAGCCTAGCTGCTTCTTAAGAAGTTGGATGCTCCTACTAAAGACTTGCCCTGCTCTCCAGAGGCTTGTTTTGGCAGAAGTTTTATTCTGTTAACATCTGAAAGTTTTACATTCTCATGTCTAAAAAACTGTTCAGCACCTTAGCGAAGATTCCTTCCTCTTGCACATTGGTTTAATGAAGAAGAAAGGATAAGGAGAGCAAAGAGTAAAAAAAAAAGAATGCAGTTATAAGATGGTCCAATGTTGAAAATAATTAAAACATTATTTAAAATAAGGATAACATAAAGCCACATAGAAAGAGCAGAGGAAGAAAATTAAAACACTCCTCCCAATAAAAAACCCTAATCTTCAGAGAAAAATCTTGTACTATCTCTACCTAAGCTTTATGTTTTATTCGTAAGCTAAAAAATTTAATCTTAAAACTCATTTATTGAATACAAGTATCGAAGCTTAGAGAGAAAACAGACTAGACAGTTGATGAGTTCCATCTATCCCACGAAGGACTACTACATCTTTCACAAAAGTTTGTTTCTACTTTAAACTTCTCTTCCCCGTTCAGTGACTTTTATAATCTCAAAACCCAGAAAAACATAAATGCCTAATAATTTACACCAGGAACATGCTGAATGAAGATGCAAGATCATAAACATCTACAATGTGTTAGTCAAATTACAGATCTGAAAACTATTCACATGCCTGGGGATAGCAGAAAAGCAGGGAAAGGGAATGGCAGAATGGAATACTACTGTAGAGATAATCATTTACTCATACAGATCCAGCAAAAGAATAAGCTAAACCTAGAAAGCAAAAAGTATTTCTAAGTATTATCACAGAATCATAGAATGGTTTGGGCTGGAAGGGACCTTAAAGATCATCTAGTTCCAACCCCCTTGCCATGGGCAGGGACCCCTTCCACTAGACCAGGTTGCTCACTTTACAACTAAAAACTACCCTTAAAGAGATATCTGCTCTCTCAAATCAAGTTAGATACTTAAAAATACTAAGTTATTTATTAAGAATATTACTCTTAATTAGCTTTGTTGCTACTTTTGTATTTCACTTCACTTGGTCTAAACCAGTTCTTCAGGACTATGTTTTCCTTTGATTCAGAGTTTATCCTAGTTCTTATGAAGAACAAATTAATTTATTTGCATTCAGCATACTGTCATACCTCAGTCAAATTCTGACAATTAACATCAACCCAGAAATTAGTGAAATTTTGTAAGGAAGTCTGACCACTACAACCAACGTATACTTGTATGAGAACAAAGTACTTAGGATTATTGTAATAAAAAGAATGATATGCATACCTGAAATTATCCTCTACTGAATCTCCATTTTCTGTGGTAACAGGATACTCAGGCTTAAGATCCTGCTTTTCATCTTTAATGCAGGTGCTAGTACCGGATGCCTTCACAGGACAACTTTCACAGTCTGCAGGTGCGAGCTCCTCTTTGTTATTGGTTCCAAAAAGGTCAGGGTCATCCTGAATCACATCAATGACAAGAACATCTTCTTTGTAAGCTTCAAGAATATCTGGAAAATTTTGACTTTTGTGCTGTGAAAGATTCCCTCTTGATTTGCTATCATCATTTATTTCTAATGCAACAGGGTGGTCAACTGCATTCCAAGAATCATCAGGAAAATGAGATTTTAGTACACATTCAGTACCACGGAAATCAGGCACAGATGACTCTAGTTGTCCATCAAGAAAAGGATGTGGATATAAAGAAAAATGTTCAGGGAGCGCAGACATCTCATTTGAAAAGTTTTCAGAGCTACCATGCTGAAAGTCCTTACTGTTGATCTCATCTGCTTTTTTCCTCATGGAAGCTGTAGACATAGCATCACTCACAACAGGAAGAGGCTGCTGCTTGGAATTTACCAAAAAAGTCTCTTCACCTGTTTTCTGCCTTCTTGAAACACTAGTGCTGTCAAGAAGCTCTAGTGGACTACAGGATTTTCTTTCAAATGAACGGACAGATTCCAATTTCCTGGATTCAGGTTTGTTTCTGCATAAAGGAATTTTGAATTTTGTCAGGTTTCCAGTGTTTAATAGTTTCATTAGCTTTAAATCAGAAGATGTCTGGTTCACTACTGATGCTTCACGGCTGAAGTTTATTCTGTTTCTGTTACTTGTAGATGTGCCATTTTGGACTGTCACAGACAGGTTTCTCTTCATTACAGCTCCTTTATCTTTTTGTTTTGTTGTAAAATTCAAGGTTGCTTTAACTTCTTGCACATCATCATGGTTAAGCGCCATGGCACTTCTATCCATATTAAGTGGTAATTCTGCATTTTCATTGCTCTTTCTTGGTGTCTCATAAATATCCACGGAAGAGGATTCTGGTGTTTCAAGTGAAGTCAGACATTCAGTATTTGGATCTATTATTTTATGTGTAGATTCTTTGTTAACTTCTACCGATGATGTATGCAAATCCAACTGTCTCAAATTCCTAGTCACGGCACTGTCTGCTGCAGCTTTAACACTGCTTTTATCAGAGGATTCCTTGAAGGCAGCCCTTAAAAGTCTTTTTTCTTCTGAGATGGACCCATGATTTTTACGAACCCTTTCAGAAGTCCTGGCACAAGAGTTGAAAGGCCAAACATTTTTACCAGTCATGGGTACTGCTCTTTGACAGGTAAACTGCTGAATTTTTTTATGAACTTTCTTCAGTTTTTCATCTGTCTTGCTTCTGTGACAATTAGAAACATCATGGACCTCAGCTAGCACTCTCAGGCTATCTGAGGCAGCAGAATGATGTGCCACACTGTCTGAATTTTCTCCTTTTGCTGTTACAGAGAGCTCAGATGTCTTCTTAAAGCCATCTTCAAATGCAAGTAATTTGGTACTATTCTTTCTCCAGACTGATATAGTTTGTGCTTCATGACTATTTTTTCCTATATGAAGATTTGATGTATGATCACATGAAGCTGACAGAGTAATTTCTTTATGATTTAGTCCTAATTCTACAAAGGAACTTGACATGGCAACTGCCGCTTCTGTTTGTAACTCAGACTCGCTGCATTCATTAGCCATGTCTGCGAAAATATTCTCTACTGCTGATTTCTCAGTGATTTTCATCTTTTTTCTAGGCTTTCTACCAATATTCCACTTTTTTCCCCTTAAACACTTATTGTTTTCACTCTGACAGCATGAAAAACACCCTTCTCCATTTTGAGTTTTTTCTTTATTGAACAATAAACCACGTCTTATGGGCGATCTCTCATTTTGCATTCTATTAGTGCTGCAATTCCTATCACTCTGTTCTACAGTACCATGAGGAAAAACATGCTTTGTTTTATCCTGGGCTACATGGAAGAATCCACTTAATTTATAACTGCTGGTAGTTCCACTAGCTGAAGACTTCACAAACGTATTGATGTAACTACAGGCCTCTAATCTCACAAATGGATTCTTTTCTGTTGCACAGAGCAAGCCATTACAATGGTTTAGGGCATTTCTGCAACGTTCAGCATCACATTTTGCAGACACATTTCTCATTTTTTCAGCTGTAGTCACACTAAAACTTTGCAAGCACTTGACTTGATCAATTCTGGCTTTACTTTTTTTATACTGCACACCAGGCTTTTTTGTTACAGGATGGCATAGAAAGCTCTTGCCTTGAGTCCCACCTGAAGTAGCAACCATGAGAGATTTAGAGTAGTGAGGTTCCTTCTCCTTGGAAGCTTCTGATCTGTTTCGATTTGTCTTAAGCTTCTTCACAGCCTGTGTACCAGCGTCCCGCTCAATTGCTTTCCATTTTTCCTTTGCTGATTGAAAAACAAAGAAGTGTCATTATTGCAATATTTTATAAAGAGAGCAAAAAACATTCAAGGCTACAGAAGAACGTGGCACTGTATAAGGCTAAAACATTTCTGTAAAGCTAGCAGACCCTAGCTCTTATCTCTAGATTTAAGTTAACTTAGCAGCTAGCCACACTAAGAGTCACTTTGAGATAGGGTACAGGCCACTCTTTCCTGCCCCCATGACTTTGTCCCACACAGACACATCTGCAGAAGAAAAATTATCTTGTTTTTTCCACTTTTTAATGAGGTCTTACTGCAGCACCAGTCCCTTGTCCTGGAAGCCCAAATTCTGCACCTGTACTTCTACAATGGGGCGCAAGTGCTTACCACTTTCCCCCAGGCTGTCTGCTCCTTTCTGAGGGTTTGAGCTCTGCTGCTCTTCTTTCATGCAACTCTTGTGCATTTTTCCTCTGGTTGTTGGTTGTTCTTGGAGACTTATGCCCTGTAGCTGCTGTGACATCAGTGCGTTTCTGTCCCTCTTCCTCAGAATCACAGCTCCTTTCTTGGACTCTGGATACTGTGTATGCAGTTCTAGCAAGGCAGATCTACCCCTCTCTTTGGGACCTTGTAGTTTTGCTTTCATCAAAGATGTACCGCCTTTCTTGCTCAAGCATGTCTTTCCTTTCTCCTCTGTCCCTGGCTTTCTTGATCCAATTAAAGAACACCCATCCAACTTCTCTGGTGTATCTAGCTCTTCCTGAGGTTTTGGTTCAGACAAGGATTCCTGAATCCCCAAATTCTTCTTAAGACCTGGGATTTGCATCTTCAGCATCATTATGGAGTCAGTGCTTTTCATTTCATTACATGTGCCCTTTCTGGGTAGCAGCACCCCTGGTTCTGGCAAACAGGAAATGCCATGTCTCTCTGTGCTCTCAATTTCCTCTTCTGAGGATGGGATTTGTAATTTTATTTCCATAAAGGAATATTTGCCTTTTTTTCCTGAGCTCCCTGAACTCTCCTGGAAACCTGAGAGGTTCAGTCCTTCTGAGCTATGTTCTCTCCTTTCAATCCCTGCTGAGAGTTTATTTTGCAAAGTAGTTCCTGAGAAAAATAGCTGTTGATCTTGTCCTGTCCCTCTCCTTACAGTCTCTTCTCGGCAGGTTGCTGCAGCCACGGTCACTGCCTGCCAACCTTCACGTACAGCAGTGTCTGAAATTGGCAAAACTACAGCCTTGTTGCGTCTGACAGCCCTCCTGCACTGTATCCCCTTGTTTTTTTTACCTGGGAGTCTCTGGCTACTCTCACCTTGTACCTTCTGCATGGGCACAAGAGGAGCAAACTGCTCACAGGAACTGCTGGGGAGCATGGCAGGTTGCAGACAGGAGGATAAGGGCTGCTCAGGTTTTCTCTTTGGTGCCAGGTGAGGACTCTGCTTGACTAACAACTTTTTCCCTGGCTCACGACCCACCCCTGCACCCAGGGAGCTTGGGCTGGTGACCATCCCGTCAGCTGACTTCACCTCGCTGGCAGTTACCACTTTCCCTGACCTTAACTGCGGCATCACAGGAGTCTAGAGACAGCAACAAAATCCACAAAATCCACTCACCAGCGCACCTTTAACAGCACCCCAGCTAGCCCGGCACCCAAGGCGGGCACAGGCCCGGCCAGGGGGGGAGCACAACCTCCCTCAGGCCAGCGCCGCAGGGGTCACCCCGGGGGAGCCCAGCTTGACAGAAAGCAAGCCCAGGCCGCCTGGGGAAAGCCCACGGCCACCAGCGAGCCCCCACCACAGCCCTCCCCCAGCCCCGAGCAGCCCCTCACCGCGGAGGGGGGAGGAGGAAGCAGCCCCGCACCTCCCCCGCCTCAGGGACCGCGCCGCGGCCGCCCATGCGACGCAGGCCGCCGCCTCCCTCCCGCGCAACCCTCCCTCTCCCGTCGCCCCGTCTGTCGTTCACCGAGCCGTCCCTCGACGCTTCGTCTAAGCCCCGCCAGCGCCGCCTGCCCGCAACGAGCCGCTCGCAGAGAGAGGCGGGCGCCCGCCGCGGGGGGTAATGGCGGCGCGGCCAGTGGAGGAGCAGGGCGGGAGGCGCCGAGGGCGGTGGCGTGAGGGCGGCTCCGAGGCGGGCCCGTGCGCGGCCGACACTCACGGGCTGGAGGAGGGAGGCGCCGCCGCCTCTCCCTGCTCGTCCCCTTGCCGGGTCAACGGTGCCGCCTTCATGGCGGAAACCCCTTTCCTGAGGCGTGGCCGAGCACGGGGGTGGCAAACGCTGCCCCTCAGGGCGGCGGAGCTGGCCTGGCGATGGATTCTTGGCTTCGGCTGGGGAGCCTTCGTGCTGCTCCCCTGTCGCCTGAAGCCCCGTGTCGCAGTGGCCGCGGGGTGAGAGGCCACCAGGCCCTGCCACGGCCGCAGCCGCGGGCTTGGGGGTGGCCCAAGGTACTGGGGTCCCGTGTGGAACAACCAGACCTGCAAAGTGCCAAGTGGCAGCAAACGTTCAGCTTGCCCGGAGCTGAGAGTCGGGTAGACAAAACCCAGAGTGCCTGGCTCGCCGGTTTCTTCAGGTGTTTTACCCACCTGAACGAAGCAGCATTATGTCGTTTGCCACAGCACTTCAGAAGCTCTCCAAAATTGAGGGGTGATAATGCTTGGTTCCATAACTGTAGCTTACGTAAGCTTTGTATTTCAAATAACACAGTTTCTCAGGTCTGGAGTTAGGAAAAAATAGCTCAAATAGTTAGACTGTGTAGTCAGAAAACAGCAAAAATTGGTGTTTGGGCTTCAAATGTGGTGATAGTTTCAACCCAAATGGAGGACACCAAAGCTTCAGGACCATTCACTGCATGATAATGTGCACAGGTAGAAATTAGCTTACAAAAACAATGTTGTACAAAGATTGAATCTAAATGGCGAGTGCTATGAAAATCATAAATGATTAAACTTAATAAGGTGATACTTTAATGCCAACAGTGCGATCAGCAAAGCCGCACGTGGTTGGTAAATGACTGTGTCCTTACAAGCAGACCCTTTCTGTTCACAGGTGGTCTCTGAGGGATGAAGTGCCTTATTCAAATTCATTTCACCCTGACTTAGTACTTGACGGTGTTCGTGTTTTATGCGTCCTACTTTGAGACCCGTGCACAGAAATAAAGCTTTTTGTGCCACTATTTTCTGGAAGTGCAGTACTGTGGATGTAAAAGAGTAGTTGAAGAGTAAAGGCATATTTTACCATCTGACGTTGGCTCATTATGTGACCTTAGCTCATGTTACTCACTTTCTCTCTGTTTCTCTATCTATAGGTAGAGGTAATACATTGCTGTCCAAATAAAGACAGAGAACACTGGATTTTCAGCAAAAGCTCTCCATAGATGAGGAAAGAACAGGCAGGCTGGGAAGCCGTTAACTTTCTTTTGCTTGTCATCTTCTTAGGTTGCATGTACGTGCTTAAGTACAACAAAAAAGTCAGTGAGCGGCTAACTAAAGCTAATCAAAGCAGAAAATACAGATTTCTTAGGCAGTTTCTCCCCTGGCTCAGTATTGTACTTCAGGTCCTTGGGACAGAAAGGACCCAATAAAAGGGAGTCAACTGCACAGCATTTATCATCGTCAGTGTTCTGCAAGGCCAGTATTACATAAAACATTCAGCTCTAGCAAAATTTAACCTTCTCCAGTTCAAATATAACCTTCTCCAGTGTGTAACATAGTCTTTCAAGTTTGACAGCAAGACAAGAAAGAAAAAGATATGCCAAAAAGCAGTAGTAAAGGAAATCTGGAAGAACAATGTATGAATTATCTTACTGGTCTCCAGTATCATTTTCAAGATTTGAGTATTTCATCAGTTATTTACAATGATGAGAACTCGGCTCAGACCAGATTTGTATGAAATGAATAAAAAATGTACTTGAAATGAATACTAATTAAAGACATTCTTTATCAAAGTCCTTTGAAAAAAGGGCTAGAGCCTCAGAAAGGACATTTTAAAGCAGCTGTGGATTATGTTAAAAAAGAGATTGCATTCAGTTTACAATACTGCTAAAAAGAGGTAGTATAAACATTGTCTTGTAAAGTGGATCAATTTAACCATCTTTTAAAAATACTTGAAAGAAGAGAGAATTTTAATACACAGACATATTATTTAAAGAAATTCTGTGTCAAGTGTTTATTAAAACTGTAGGTTATTAAAGTGGAAATAACTCTAAAAAAATCATATAAACAGCTTAAGGGGGGAAAATGAGTTATTTTCACATTCCAACAACATTTGAATTAGTAATACTACAAGGAAATGTTTAAACTTTATTTTAAAATTATATGTTGTTTGGAAATAAAGACAAATGCTTGTTTCTTTTGAGTTTTGTAAGTCCTGTATCTCAATGCCATATCTAAATTTTAGGACTAATTCAGCTTTTGCTGATCTGTTGTTTTGCTTCACTGGTTTCTTGTTCATCCTAGACACTTAGACACAATAGAAATATGAGGTACCAAGTAAAAAGGGAATCCTGATGCCTAAAAACGTTTTTTTCCAGAATAATCAGTACACTCAGTGATGCCTGGCAATTTCCAAGAAGGAAAAAGGAGCTTGTGTGACTACATTTGTGTAAAGTCCATGAAATTACTATTTCTTTCTTCTCTCAGATGAGTGAGTGTGTGCGCTTAGCCCCCCAGCTAATGTAGTTTACATTACTAGTGTGGAGAAATCGTGGCTGCAGATCTAACAATGATACATTTGAGTAACCTTCCAAAAGTTTTTGAAGGATTGAAATTTATAAACACATAAACCAGCACATAGGTGAGCAAGTCATATAAATTTTTTACTGGGCTGTATTTTAGACTTTGCTAATACACTCACCTAGCAACAGGAATTAGTTCTTTTTTAGCTAGGGAACTGAAAAGAATTAACTTGAAAATGAATTGGGTTTTTTGTGAGGCAATGTGAAAAATGTCCCCCTGGACCACTTCTTTTTGCACTGCTTACATCTTCATGCTTGGCTGAGGGATAGATTTGTTATCTCTAGCAAACCGTAGTGGAAAGAGTTTGGCTGTGCTGTAATAACTGAGACTGAGCTCTGAAGAATATGCGTAGTCTGTTACATTCTTAAAATGCGCCAAATTAATCCCTTACGTAATACAACTAAAATAAAACAGGGAAGAGTTTTAGTCCAGTAGGTCTAAGAAAGTATCCTTTTATAACCCCGAGGATTTATTTATTAACAGTTCTGAGCTATTGGTTTTGCAAAGGTAGCACCCAAAGATAGTAAACATAGATATGATTTTTAAGTAACTTCTTTACCCCCTGCCTTCTGTTCAAATACATGGATGTTTTGGAAATAGGTGTATTGCTAATCTGTTGAACTAAGGCATTTTGTCTCAAGCCATTCATGTATATCCTTCCAAAACTGCCTTTGCTTTCCATTCCCAGGCACTTAATGCAGAGCCACCTTTGACATGACAACTAATGAGAATCATGCTAACTGCCCTTGTTAGGCTTGAGGTACAATGTATGCATTCAACTCATGTCCTTGGTAGCTCAGCTGTATAGGTGTTGATCCATTTTATACTAACAGCTGTTTGTCTGCTTGTCTATCCTGACACTACGAACTCAGTTAGACAGGGGCCAGTATGGTGCTGAGAGCAGAGGTACCTCAGTGGAAGTGTATGATCTGTTTTGTGAAGTAGCTGGGTGATTACACTACATGGCATCATGATGATAGACTAGGTGAATCCATTGAGTAGCTGGATATTTCAACCTTCATTTTGGTGTCTGTTTTTATTATAGGGCTGTACAGGGTAGATTAAAGTAACTTCATTTTCCACCAGTTTAAAATGAGACATTGGAGGGAAAAGGACAGCTGGTATATTTCATAATGAACCATCTGGCATTTCTTGGTAGTTCCTCTGATTCCTAATTTACTACTGAATTGTGACAGCGTGAAAATCAAAATTATTGATTGTGTGGAATCAGTGTTTCCCTCTGGCACATTTTGTGCTCCTTCAGTTTCTGTCAAAGGATGGTCACAGGAGGGATAAGGACCTCTCACATGGAGCTTTGCAAAGCTTGAAAGTAATCTATACCATTTGCCTTTTTTTTGGTAATCATGCTGCTTGACATTTATTCTGGAAGACCAGCTTTCCAGATGATCACATCTGATCTGAACCTTACAGAAAGTGGCACTAATCGGTTTTAAGGTTCCACGAGGGAACTCCTGTGTTAGGTTCATATTCTGTTTTAGTCCCTTTAATTTATTGCTCTTTTTTTAAACCTCCACTGCTAGGAGTTTAAGAAACAAACTAACTAGCTAGCTGGAATTTGAGATTAAAAAAATACAGATGCAGTAGAGGATTAACTAGTCAAATAGGAGACTACATATTCCGTCTCAATTTATTTTAAAATTCTCTAAATAAAGCATATCTTTGCTTTAACTAGATAGTACATAGCCATGTACCTACCACTAAATCTGCCTTTAGAATCAACTTCTTTTAGTGGCTGGATGAAAAAGATGTTGGACTTATGAGGAAAGCATCTGCACACCAGCAAGTACATGACACCTCCATCTCACTGCCAGAAAAGATTATGAAATGTGGTTCCTAAATGAGAATATTAAAAAAGAAAGGAAAAGAGGAAATGGAAGTTGAATAAATCAGAGCTAGAACAGTCATAGGATTAGAAATGGTAGGGGTGGGGTAGGGTATAGGCAGAATGTAATAAAACAGTAGATAAACAGGGAAAACAGTGACAGAAATCAGACAAAAAAAAATGGCAAATTGCTTCAGAAAATCACCCTTAAAAGAAAGGAGAGGTGAAGACAAAACACAGTAATAGGAAACTTCTCTGTGGTTCAGGCTGACTGAAGAAACAGTGGAGGATCATCTTCAGCAGTGATCCTAGGAAGAGTAAATAGAGCCTTGAACTTTGAATGGTGACAGTGATCAATCACAAACTAGAATCCAAATCTGAATCCTAATTAATCTTGCTGTTGGGCATTGAACAGTGACTGGCTCCTAGGTTCAATTTCTTGTGCTGTGGTCATCCATTAACGCCTTACATCTCTCTCTGCTTAATAGTGTCAAGGTGGCTGACATACAAAGTGTGGAGCCTCAGAATAACTTGCTGTGTCTTTTCTTCCTCGGGTGATTCATCCATAAGCATCAGATCACTCCACATCCCCCAATATATTATATAGTTTGTATATATAGTTTTGAACCTGAGGAGTGCATTTGCAGTTACTGTATGTTTTCAGAACTTGAATGTGAGTTTTTTAGAGCTGCAGACTTAGGAAATAGCTGCTGCTTACCTTTTTTTTTTTTTTGAGACAGTAATTCTCTAGCAATGAAACGACCTTTTGCAATTGATGAAACATAATTGTTTCAGCCATGGTGACTGTATTGAGCACTGGACTGACTATAAAGCTTCTCCTAACCAAAGCAGCATACAACCATTTTAAAACATGTGCTGACTTTACCACTGAACATTT